GGAATTAAAATTGTCATTAACAATTATGTATCAGTTTTTTAGTTAAAAATGCATTATTTTTTAAAATATTTATATTATATATGTGAAAATGATGCATGAATAACAAAAAATCATTTTAAAGTTATTTAATCCACATCAACTATTATTTCTTTGTTGTAATAAATAAAATTAAAATAAATTTGTTTACTATTCATCAAATTACAACATTAAATAAATTCAGTCAACAACTGCTTTAAACCACACTAAATTTGCCGATTATTTTTTGTTATTACAGAATATTCGAGCAAAAATTAATGTTTTATATTAAATTCGAAATCCGGTTAAAACCGGTTTTCTGGGATATTTACAATTCGAAAACGGGTTTTCTGAAATATCGGTTTTCGTATAAACCCTAGTCGGTATTATGCCATTTTCTTTGCTATACAAAAACACACACACACAAACATCCATTTTTTCTAATGTATGCCAAAATGTTCAGAAACCTCTGAAACGTAAAGAAACGTTTCATTTTCGATTTTTTAGCGATTACTATAACTTGCTCCATGGGAAGTTAATAATAGCTTGTTACAATATTTACAGCGATTAGAACTTATGGGTTTTACAACCTGTTATGATATTTTTTTATTTATTTAATAATTACAACTGTCTAAAAATATGACATCTAGTAATTTTTTGAATAATATTAAGAAGTAGGAAGATATCAGGCCGCCCAATGGTGGTTCTAATAATATTGTTGTTAAGTATCAGATATTTTGAAAAAGGTTAAACTTATATAGGATCAATTCAGGCAATCTTATAACTGATCACATTAGATTAAAAATAAAATAATCTTCTAGTCTGAGCTAATATCGATCCTGGGACATGTGTATATTATTTTACCTGACGTTACTTAACACGTTAATCTGCTATCTGAAAAAGTTTTGTTCTTTTGAGACTGTATTCAAAAGATGTGTCATATAATTTGGTAGCAAGTTCATTGCTGTGATTGTCAATATTTCTTCTTAAACTGTGGCCATGCAGGTGAAGATTTTATTCTTGAAGCGTTGTATAATTTGAATGTTGCTCCTTTTGGCAAGTCCCCAGAGTTGAACCCCGTAAGTCCAAACATGTTTTATAATAGTTTTATACAACAAAATTTTGATTTTTGTTGATAACTCTGATTGCCTACCCAGTAACCAGTAAGGAATTCTTCTTATGTGTTCCATATGTGACTTGTTAGTCACTATGTGCGCTTTCCAATTCAACCTCGTGTCTAGGATCATCTCCAGGTATTTGACAGACGCTTGTGCAGGAATTGTTTGGTTAAGGATTCCAACTGGAGAGCCTGTTTCTTTTCGAATTGTAAAGTTAACATGTACCGACTTAGAATTGTTAACTTCAATTCCCCACAGCTTGAATTATTGTTCTATTTTGTCGGGTTTCTCATGTTGGGCTATAACGCATGTGTCGTCTGCAAACATGGCTATAGTGGTATTGTAATTAATATAATACACTTTCCTAATACACTTTCCTAAAGAACTGCAATTCTAATATTTCTCACTTCTTACTGAACACCATTTATAGATACGTAGAATTTTCAATTTGGTAATTACGAGTTAAGAAAAAGATATAAGTTGTAAGACAATCATTTTTTAGTTTATATAAGAGTCCTTTATGCTATACTTTATCAAAGGTTTTTGTGTGGGCTAGAAACACTTCTGAGAAATATTTTTTTGGGTGTAGAGATTCATTGACTATATTAACTACCTTGTGGATTTATTGAATTGTAGAATGCTGTTGTCTGAAGCCAAATTTACAGTTAAGTACTAAATTCATGTTTTGTGTTTCAAGATTTAATCGTTTTACAATAACTTTCTCAAAAAAAAAAAATGACACACGATAAAGTAGATTTATTAGTCTGTATGATGAAACCAAATGATGGTCTTCACCAGGTTTGGGAATTAAAATCATTTTAGCAGTTTTCCATTTCTCTGGAAAGCATTGCATTTAAAGCTTATTACTCAATATTTTATCAACTTCTTAGGTACTTCTTTTAGCTTTTGTTATTTTGTCGGGACCTATGGATTTTTCTAATTTGGATGATTTTATTAAACTGGAGATTTCAAAAAAAAGTCAGTTTGTTAATGCTATTAGTAAATCTTATATCATGATGAAAAAAATCATTGATAAGATCTTTTGCATTACGTCTGCAATGTGGAGGTGCTGGGTAGAAGGTATCTTGTAGGTAGTCAGCAAATACTGCAGCTTTTTCTTTGTGAGATCTTGCTCATGATTGATCAGAATTTCTTGCAGGTGTCGTTTGCAAGCCTTCTATAGCGAGTAGTTTATTTCTTGAGTTGAAGATAAGTTGTGTACGTAAGTCGAAGATAAGTTGTTTAGGTAATGGATTCATTTTTGTAAGCATTGATTATTGATTTTAAGTTTTCACATGATTTATTAAGTTTTTTCTTATATTTGGGATGTCTTGTGACTTGTCATATTTTCCGCAATCTTCTTTCATTAGATATTTGATTTTTCTATTTTTAGAGGTATGCTGCAAGTGTTATAATTAACATTTGTAGGTGTTGATTTGTATGCTGCTTCTTGAAGAATGTTTGTTACTTATGTGATAGCACATTTAACATCATCTTCGGTTTTCAGAGGAAGATGTTTTCAATAAAATTTTGGTAGGTGGACAAAATTGTTTGACACATTTTGTGTTATATGATATATTTGTAATTCAAATGTACCGCCATTAGTATCAGTGGCGTTGGCAATACTCTTTCCCCTACCCCTATGTACCCACCATCTTTATATTTATGTTCATGTTAATAGCTATGTAAAATCTCTCTCTCTTTGCTGAACCGTGAACCAAACAACATATAAAATAAACTAAATAATCAAAAGGAAGCATTTTTATTATACCATATTTTGGTCCATCTCACCGGGTAATATATATTTATACCAGTGCTTTTCCTTAATAGTTTATGTGTGTTTAACCTATATAAACAAACACACGTTTTTTTTGTGTTCGCATTAATTATTAAATCCACGTGGCCTTAAAATTCTTCGGCAATTGTAAGTGCAGAGCTGTTGCTGCCAGTACTTCGAGACTTCGCTATTTATTACAATTCGTTGGGCGAGGTAAAAGCTGCTCGAGATATTTGAGGTTAGTGAACAGTCAAACACGTCGGAGCTAAGTTTGCAAGGGGGCACAAAATCTAGAAGCGGTCGGTTTGTTCGAGGCAGACAATTTGTACGAGGCTGCATTACATCCAGCTTCGATTACTGTGGTATTTTCCATAATTCTGCCAAGGATACAGGAGGAACTTTCTTACTCACGGACCACGTGTGGACTACAGAAGCACTTTGGTTTGATTGTATATGAGACTACTTGTCGTGGTTCTCTATTATTTACTTATTTACAAGATTAGAAAAATTTATATCGTATATATTCATTCTGTGCTATATCCAGATGGATTTATAAATTTTCTGTTATCTTATATATTTTTTATAGTATTGTCATATACTTTTATATTTTATAATACTGATTTTGTATTATAAATTTAATTAATTAGAAAATTTTATATTATTTATATTCATTCTGTGCTATATACAGATGGATTTTTAAATTTTCTATTATTTTATATATATATATATCTTTATAGTATTTCCATATACTTTTATTTTATAATACTGCTTGTTGTATTATATATTTAATTAATTAGAAAATTTTATATTATTCATATTCATTCTGTGTTATATACAGATGGATTTTTAAATTTTCTATTATATTCATATTTTTTATAGTATTGTCACTACTTTTATATTTTATAATACTGATTTTTGTATTATATATTTAATTAATTACAAAATTTTATTATACTTTAGTCAATCTGCGCTATATCCAGAAAGATTAAACATTTTTGTATTTAATATATTTTATGTGCATTGCTATAAAACCTTTTCTATATATTTTATAATACTGATTTGTCGTATTATATTTCTGCTTAGTCGATTCTATGCTATATCGCAGAAGGACTGCAATATTTTTTATATATATTTTATATATATATTATTTGTAATATAATATTTTTATATTATATATTTTTATATTATATGTTATTAACAATTTGGTGTTAATTTCATCCATATTTTAATTCACTTATTATTTTTTTGATTCTCACTATTTTTTCATTTTGTAGATTTGTTCAAACAACTTAAAATGGCTGATATCGTGGCTCTGGAAGCTGCTCATGAAATGATTAAAGGATCTTTCGATGACATAAGAAATTTTCTGGCAGGGTTCTGTGAGGGCGATAACGTAGATCTTTTGATTGTACAAAAGCAAAGGTTGGATGAACTGTGTCACGAGTGGGATAGGAATTATGTTAAGTTGAATATATTAAGGCCAGGGACATACAAAAAGGTATTTGTAGATTATTCGGAGTTATATTTTACTTTGATGGCAGATATTTTGACATTGATTGAAGATAGGAAGACTACTAAGTTTTCGATAGGGAATTCCAATAAATCAGTAGACGTCAAACTGCCTGATATAGTTTTGTCTAGGTTTGGTGGTAATGTCAGTGGCAACACAATTGTTAAGCAGGCTTCTCAATCTTGCATTTGTTGCAAGGGAGAGCATGCTCTTTATCAATGCCCTGACTTCAAAGCCTTGAATGTTCAGAAGCGAAAAGAACTGATTTCTTTATATACTCTTTGCTCTCGTTGTATAGCTTCACGACATGGCATTTCAGAGTGCAAATTTAGGTTTAAATGCTCTATATGCAAAGAACCGCATAATACTTTATTGCAGGGCTTCTTAAAGTGGGGGTCGCGACCCCCAGGGGGGTCGCACAGATCTGATACTTTTCAGTCATTATAAATAAAATTTTAAAATTAGTACACACACTACGTGCAAATATAAATACGAATGAAAATCATACAAAATACTATTGTAGTTTTATTATAATCGTGCTTCTAATTCGACTTCTAGCAAAACAAAAAAAAAAGAAAATATGACGAATCATATTTGCTTCACATGCTCTTCCTACAACAATGAAGAACAACCAGTGTGTTTAATTTGCAAAGAAGTTTTGGCCGCAGAAAGCATGAAGCCGTCAAAACTGCAACGATATTTGGATACTAAACATGCAACGTTATCAAAAAAGCCAATAGAATATTTTGAGCGTCTTTTGCAAACATCAAATAAAGAAAAGAACACTTTGGAGAAGTGTGTTACTTTGAATGATAAATATCTATTGGCATCGTATGAAGTTTCGTATTTGATTGCAAAAACGAAAAAACCTTTTACTATTGGAAAGAATTAAACACTGTGTTTTCTGATGCAGTAAAAATCATTAACTTTATTAAAAATCGAGCACTTAATAGTCGATTGTTTAAGAATTTGTGCATTGATATGGATTCGGATTATACAAGTTTATTGCTACATGCTGAAGTTAGGTGGCCTATCAAGAGGTCGAAGTTTGAAACGATTATTAACTTTAAAATATGAAGTTCTTATATTTCTAACAGAGCAAAATTCTAATTTAACCGATTATTTTCACGATAATTTATGGCTTCTCAAGCTATGCTATTTGGCAGGCATTTTTGATAAAATCAATGTTGTGAATTTATAAATGAAGGGAGTCTGCGCTAATATATTTATGTTAAAAAATAAACTTGAGGCCTTTGTTAAAAAAATTCTTATATGGAAGAACAGAGTGGAAAGTGGATCGTTCGAAATGTTTCCATTTACTGACGAGTATATAATTAGTAACAATATTTCAATAAAAGATACTCCTATAACAGAAAGTATATTTAATCATTTGAAGGATATGAAAGTTTATATGCATAGGTATTTTCCCAATGATATCGATACACACCAATGGATTCGCAATCCATTTTCAATTGAAATCGAAGAAATGAATTTTTTAAACTTAAAAGCACAAGAAGAATTTGCCGAATTAACTAGTGATACTACCTTGCGACTAAGATTTTCTCAAGTGCCTGTGCATGAATTTTGGATAGATATGAAATCAGAATATCCCCTACTATCGGAAATAGCAATGAACAAATTACTGCTATTTTGTACAACATCTTTATGTGAATCAGCCTTTTCCACTTTAACTTATATAAAATCAAAATACCGATCAACTTTAATAAACGTTGAAAATTTATTACGATCTGCACTAACTCAAATTGAGCCTAGATTTAATTATTTGTGTAAAAATAATCACATTCGTCACATTGGTATTGTTTGATAATAATATGTTTTTATTGAATAAATTATACAAAAGTTTATTTTTTCTAGTGAATAAATATATATATATATATATATATATATATATATATATATATATATAATTTTGTCATTCTATTCATTGTGTTTTATTACGACTAAAATCCCGTCAACGTTTCCAATGTGTGTGTGTGTGTGTGAAATAAATGGATACGTATTCTTTAATTCTTATTTTATTTACATTGTAAATTAGTGTGATATTACATCTACATCTTATATATATTTTATTATTATTTCATTATATGAAGGAGGGGGTCGTTAAACATTTTCTGAGCTTGAAGGGGGTCGCTATATAAAAAAGTTTAAGAAGCCCTGCTTTATTGCACGAAGAAAAGGTTTCCCCCATCAACCATAACAGTTTTGATATGACGCATTTCAATTCTCAAACTCATTCTACTTATCCTTTAGTTATGTTCAATGCAAATGGCAAAATTCATATAGTGCGTACACTTCTTGATAGTGGTCCACAAATTAATTTAATTACAATTTCGCTGGCTTCGCGTCTCCAGCCACCCATTAATTCTTCATTTATAAAATATTCTCAATGGAGAATCCCGGATTATGTTCAATTAACTGATCCCAATTTTATTACACCCGGTCCAATATATTTGTTGATGGGCGAGGAGCTAAACTTCGACATCCTACAGCAAGATTATATTCGATTAGGGAATAAAATATCAATTTCTAGAAATAGTCACTTCAGTTGTCTGATTTCTAATTATTTAGGTCATAGGGACTCTCGGTTGTTTCTAGGTTTTATTTCTCATTTTGAGAATAAACAAATTGAGGCTGCCTTACCATTCATTGTTGTTTCCTGTGATGCTCTTAAGGAACAACATTATCTGTCGATGACAGATTTGTCTGAAGAAAATTGTATAGTGGAAACATTAAGGCTATATTGGATCACTGTTCACAACAGTGTGAAAAGTCCTTATTTTAATTTTAAATTCAAATTTCATTATTCTTCAGATTATAAACAATTCATTCTTCCAAATATAGGGTTCTCACTTAAGAATTTCATTTATACACTTTCAAGGCTGCAACAGGAATCGTTTTACATTTTTATTGGTTCTAGATGTCTGTTGTATGTTTGTGCTGTTATTGTTAAAATGTATGTACAGATTAAGATTAGGGATTTGGATAATAATTTACAATTAATTATATGGAGATATTCTCCTCAGGAAAGTACTGATTTTGATCATTTGAAAACTAATAATTTTGGCACTCTGTGTGCACCTTATTTTGTCATGGATTTACATTTACTAGATTCACAGAGTTTAGATATGATTTGTTATTTAGATGACATAATAACTAGGGCATCTTCAGAACGTGAACTAGGTCAGATAAAAATGGATGTCTCTAGTTTGTTGAAGTTAGGTTGTATTCAGGTATACAAATGTAACAGTTTTTCTTTATTAGTTCATGTTCCCAAGGAACAGCAAAATCAGTTGATAACGCATTTCATTACACAAATGTGTAACATGTTGATAGAGTTTTTTGAGTTAATATTATTTAGATTAGATTTGTTGAAACCAGGTTTGCTGACAGTTGTGGCTCAGCTAGGTATATTGTGGAAGTTTTCTCCGTCATATTGGTATCATTTTTGTAGGATGTTAGGATTGTGTTGCTTTGCGTACAACTCTAGATCATTGTTGGCTCTCACAGATGATAGCGCAAATATTTTATTTTTAAATTTAGATTATCTTTTGATAGGAGTATTTCCAGAGCCATATCTTTCTCAACCAAAGTTGTTCAAGCAAATCATTGCTATAAGGAACCAATCTTGTTCAGCTTGTTCCAAACAAATGATCTCAGACTCGATCAAATATTTAATTTTAATTCATTTCTTATATTGTAAACTAATATTATTATATTGTCACTTATTAGTTTTATATTGTAACTTCATCATTTATTTCTATGATGTCAATTGATAATTTTATATATTGTCTTCGTTGTGTATCTTTGCATTTAGTCAAGTTTATATATTTTCCAACGAATTCAATATCATTTATTTTAGGATTTATTATGCATATCATGTTATATCATTATTATTGTCATTTTCATTTTAGATTAACATAACTTGTAAGAAATGTTTTCATTTCAGTTTTCAGTAATTGTTATATAATTTATCTATATATTGTCTATGTTATACAGTCCACTCAAATATTTTGTTATGTTAATTATTATACTCTGGATGCAAGCATCGCCCCGGAGCATGGACAAAATTGTTTGACACATTTTGTGTTATATGATATATTTGTAATTCAAATGTACCGCCATTAGTATCAGTGGCGTTGGCAATACTCTTTCCCCTACCCCTATGTACCCACCATCTTTATATTTATGTTCATGTTAATAGCTATGTAAAATCTCTCTCTCTTTGCTAAACCGTGAACCAAACAACATATAAAATAAACTAAATAATCAAAAGGAAGCATTTTTATTATACCAGTAGGTATTCCAGTTTGTGTATTTATTGGTTAGTAATTTATTGTTAGCAATGAGGTTAAAGTTTTGGGAATATGTAAGTATTACTGGTGAATGATTCGAATTCGCTAGGCCAATATGTTGGTTTGTCTGTAGACATCGCATTCAGGTTGAGCTCACGTCCTCTTGTAGTAGTTAGTCTCGATCTCCAGCATGTGTTTTTTGCAATATAATCTCCTCCAGCAATAAAAAAATTACCGAGAGAATGAAAACAAAAAAGAAGAATTTTGCTGATGGATTGTATGTTTAGGACGGAGATATATTGCTGAAAAAATGATGCTCATCGGAAATATATCAGCAGAGATATTTATTGCTTGCATGGAACACGTGGAAAATGGTTTAATAACCATGTGTCTGATCTTATTTTTAATGATTACGGATGTTCCACCATGCGCTTTTCCGCCTGAGTCATTTGCATCGTATGTTTTATAATTATTAATACGGGAGTACTTTATAGGTGAGAGGGCATAATGTCAATGTTGTTATACATTAAGAAATATTTAAGCTTCTGTATATGCTGACCCGGACGGTCATTGGCATTACTCAAACATATCCTCAAGAACTGAGCCATTAATTGTTTTTATTTAGCAGCATCATTAACAAATTGAGCATGGTTAAAGTTTTCAGCATATGTTTAAGTACTGTTGTGTCGCTGATGTTGGAAATGATATTATTATTGTGGTTATAGTTGAAATTTATCAGTATTGTTATTGGTATCATTAATGCTTCTTAAGTGTTCTGCTGTAGTTGAAGGTTGAGTTATATAAAAATAGTTAAATTCAGGTCGAACCATATGGTTTTTATTGGTGTTATCAGTAGTCGAAGATAAAGTTGGACATTTACGTTCAAGTTGCTTCTGATAAATTTCACAGCCTTTATAGTTTGCGGAGCAGTTATTACTACGCAAGACACATTTTACATCTGCGTTTATTTTTTCTGACCTCTCGCATTTATCTGTCCAATGGTCCCCAGCAAATTTTACACAGCGTGGATTTCTCTTAGTTCTATATACGAATTATATTTTATAGAAATCTTTATTGTCTGATTGTTGCTCCAGTTTATAGATATTCAAGAAACATATTAAGGAAAAACTTTGTGACTCTGCCTTTAATGTTAGTAATTCATAATATCTTGTGTCCGAGATCTTCGATTTCATTTTTTAGAAATTCAACATCCGTGATATGATGTAAATTCTTCACAATAATTTTGAATGAGCGCTTTGTTTTTTCTTTAAAAAAATGCACCTTTGTGTCCTTTTCTTTTAAGAGTTTTAAAATGTTGTTATAGGTCGTAGCATTCTGGTAAATAGAAGTCAATGTAATAAAAAAAAACTTGAGTTGCAGTTATGAGTTTAATGCTATATACATTTTTTGCGTTACTTTCAAGCAGTTGCTGCAAAGGTCTTATATTACGCACTTCGTGTACGAAAATGGCGGACGGATTAACTACTGTTATATTTTGACAAGTAGAAGTTGTTTCATTACTCAGAACTTCGAAAAAACTATTGGTTTGTGTTAGATTTAACTAGTATTCCTTATTGAT